GCCCGAAGCCTTGGAGCCTTGTCACAGAGGTTGCTGCATATGCGTTCAATGTGTGGCTTGTCTTTCCAACTGCTCAACACATTCCATAGCCGGAAGAAAGAGATGATTTTGTGTGTAATGTCAGGGGGATAGTGAAAACATAAACCCTAAAAAGGGGCTTTGTTTCTAGAAGTCCATGAAGACAACACAATAGCCCCCAAAACGATCTCTACGCTTCGTTCCTCGCGACAAGCGGAGGAAATCACCAAAACCAAACAACACTCAGTTATAGCCGCATGCTTCTCTAACCATGCTTCAAACAAATTGTTGTATTTTCTTCGAACATCATTCGTGTAGTTTTTCTCTTCACAACTTCTTGTATTTTGCATGTGATCTCGATTAACAAGGCCAAGGAAAATCTTACCGTGATTCAAAGAGTAATTTCCCATGACGGCATCATGAACCACACATTCCACAATGTTAAAAAGCAGCCTATTATGACAATTACCATCAAACAACAAAAATGACGTTTGAAGCTTACAAGTTTAGAGCAATCAAAATTAGATGAGACCTTAAAAAATAAAACTAAACAAAAGATGCATGTGAGAGAGGGGTTGGACATGCAAATCCGAAGTAGAGGATGAAAACGGGAGAGTGAAACTGCAGCTAGGCCTAGTGGAGTGGGAAAAAGAGTCGGGAAATGGGAAGCAAACATATATCAAGCTCAAACCAGACATCAAGTCAAAAATAGGTAGTTGTGATACCAATTCAGACAGTAGTTGATGCACGAAAGCCGAAAGGCGGGTCACAATATCTTTCCAAAGAATCGAGTCAAGGCGATGAGGGTTATTCAACATGACTTAGTCCTAATGGAGTGGGGAAAAAGAGTCGGAAACATGAAGCAAACATTTCAAGCTCATACTAGACATCAACTCGAAAGTAGGTAGCATCGCGAGACCCAATGCGAACCGTAGTCTAGGCACGAAAACCTAGAAGGTGAATCATAATATCTTTCCAAACAATTGAGTCAAGGCAAGAAGGGTTATCCAAGGCGATGCTGCAAGGTCTTGTGGAGTGGGGGAAAGCATGGAAACGGCGGGCAAACATCTCAATCTTGAACCAGAAATTGAGTCAAAAGCAGGTAGAATTGCAAGATTCAATCCGAAGCATAGTCTAGGCGTGAAAACCCGGTAGGTGGGTCATAATATCGTTCCAAACAGTCGAGTCAAGGTGAGACTACAATTGGGCGTAATAGTGGGAAAAAGGAGCAGGGAAATGGGGAGCGAGCGTTGCAAGTTTGAACCAGACATCAGGATTAAAGTAGTCAGCGTTGCAAGACCCAATACAAACCAAAGTCTAGGCACGGAAACCCTGTTTGACCGGTGTAATATCTTTCTAAACAATTGAGCAAAGGCAATGAGGGTTCTCCAAAGCGAAGATGCAGTTAGCCCTACTTGAGCGCGGAAAGGAGCCGGAAAATTGAAAGCAAATGTATGATGCTCAAATTAATATCAAGCCAAAAGGAGGTAGCATTATGAGATCCAGTTTGAAACGTAGATGAGTTGTGAAAACCGAGATGCTGGTCACAGTATCTTTCAAAACAATCGAGTCAAGTTGACGAGGGTTCTCCAAAGCTATATTAACGTTAGGCCTAGTGAAGTGGGAAAAAAGAACGGAAAATGGGAAGCAAACGTTTCAAGCTCAAACGAGACATCAAGCCAAAAGTAGGTAACATTGTGGGACTCAATGCGAACCATAGTTGAGGTACATAATCCGAGAAGGCGGGTCATGATATATTTCTAAACATTCGAGTCAAGGCAACAAGAGTACTCCAAGGTGACTTTGCAATTCAACCTAGTGGACTGGGGAAAAGAGACGGGAAACCGGAAGTAAACGTATCATGGTTTGAAGCACATATCAAGCCCAGAGGAGGTAGCGTTAAGGGATCCAGTGTGAAACGTCATTGATATGTGAAATATCGGAAGACATGTCATAATACATTTACAAAACTCTAGTCAAGGCAATGAGGGTACAAAATACCACGATTTCTATGCAATCCATAACCCGAGCTAAACCAAGATTCCCAAGGCGTGCAGTGTGAGTGGTGAAGGCAATGTTATGAGTTTCAAGATGAAGGCAATGTTACGAGCTTCAAGATGAAGGCAAAGCCCTCTTTGGAAAGGAGGGGCGGTAACTTCATCCCAAACACTTTTGCATTGACCCCCTTGTCAAAAAGAGAACTTTGCATTGACCACCTTGTCAAAAAGAGAACTTTGCATTGACCCCCTTGTAAAAATGAGAACTTTGGAAAGGAGGGGCGGTAACTTCATCCCAAACACTTTTGCATTGACCCCCTTGTCAAAAAGAGAACTTTGCATTGACCCCCTTGTAAAGAAAAGAACTTTGTATTGACTCCATGGACATTGCCTTCCCCGACACCACGTAAACAATACATAATGCAAGCACAGACAGATATATTCACAGACAGTTCTATCTTTTCATTGTTGTAATAGGGCATAACAAATTTGAACCTTTTGCTTTGCGCATTGTTGACCCTCAAACGAGCTCTTAATGGTATACTATTATTGTAGAGGCCAAATGTACATCTTCTCTTCTCAATCTACTGAGCAACTTATGACCCGACGACCCGCTACACGAAAGAAACAGTTGAAGTTTATTGCATAATTGTATGCTTCGCAACACACCCTTCTCCACTATACTAGATTTTCCTTTAGAAATTATTGGACCTTGTAAACTCTCGTGTCCGACTAATCGGACAGTGCCGAAATGTCTTACCAGTGGACCGGGTGAGAGCTGGCAGGAATGTTTGTAGAATAAATAAATTAATCTGACTTAATTAACAGCTTAATATAACTTGTATTATAGAATGCTGACAAGGCGACGTGGTGCAGAAAGTAGAACATACTACTATACAAGCTCTCAAGTATTATGCCTTTTGCTTGTATATCTATTCTGTATGTACTTTTTTTAAAGAAATATTCAGCATGCAATGGATAATTTTTTGCTTATTCTTCCACCATGGCCCACACATACGTCATGATGCGCAGGTCCATACGTGCCGCAGTTGTATGGCCGCCATCTCGTCTTGATGGCTTCTCGTTGGCAAGCCAAAGTGGCGTCATCATGTCGCTCATGTACCTTAATTCTTGCACGTATCTCATGTCACCTCTCCACTTGCGAAAACCGTTTTTTGCACAGCTTATTATTGTATATATTCCCACCTGACCATTTAAGACAGTATATTTATTTATTATTGTTAAGAAGCATGAATGCATCCACCAACCTCTGTTTTGTCGCCCGAACAAAACTGTCTCTGCCATCCCACTTGCATTTATCTTGGAGCTTATCTTTTTTCGACAATCAGCAGAGGTTGGAGCATCAAACTCCTGAAATAATTGTAGAGGATTCTGAAGATGATGGTACTAGTACTGCTAAAAGACGTTCATCATGGGTACTTTTTTTTTTTTAGGGGGTTCATCATGGGTACTTCAGTACTTGTGTAGTGCAGTCTAGCAAGTATGTGATGCCACGTCAAAGCTGGTCTAAAGAGAATGAAATGCATGCCTCCACTTTTTCTTTTTTCTTTTTTGAGATGATCCACTGAATTCTTTGGTGTGCGAATGCAACGCACGCACGCGCAACCCGTGGAAGGGGCGAGACACGCACGCTTCGAGGTGAATCTTGCGGCGTGCAGTCAGAGACACGGTGGAATGGAGCGCGCGCATCGCGCATGAGTGGCCGGAGCGTCGTGTCTCGTCGAGTCGAGGTGTCGTGCATCGGCGCCGGGGTTTCGACCGGCTCCGGTCGCCGATCACGAGGCACGCAGGCCGGAGCTTGCTTTGACCTCGTTTTCCCTTTCGCTCCGAGGCGATGGCCCTGTTTGGATACTCTAACTCAGTTAGAGGTTAGAGTTAGATTCTAACTCTAAACTAACCTTAAACTAACTCTAACCAAAAAGTTGTTTGGATGGTAGGGTTAGATTGACAATAAAATATTCTTTCTCAATCATTTGATTACTTTGGACCTTATTTAAATGGGAGGGGTAACTTTTTTTACTATTTTTTCTAGTGGGTTCAAGAGAACTAACCCAAATAAGCTCCTCTAGTGTGGGCTAGTTTTTTGGGGTGTGTTAGATCCAACTAACCCAAACTAACCCATCATATTTGGATACTTTTGGGTTATTTGAGCCCCAACTAACTAAAACTAACTCTAACATAGGGATCCAAACAGGGCCGATGGCACCGTCCACCGCCCCATCCGTCCCCATGCGATCCATCTGCGATTGGTCTCGCCGTAATCTCCTGGCCTTGCTGTAAAGCTGCTCAGTTCAGGCGGGTACACACGCTCGGATGGGGTGATTTTGGCTATCAGCGTGGCCGGCGAGGCCTCCCGTCACCGTCCGACCGGTCGCCAACAGTGAAGGACGGTCGGAGGTGCGTCGCGTCGCGTGAGAACGCGGAGCAGAAACCGGTGCGACGGGGACGGGACAGCGCGAGGGACAAGCCCGGGCTTGGAGTCGCCCGGACCCGTCCCCGTCCGCCGGGAGGCCCCTCCACACCGCGTGCCCCAACCCGGTTCCGCACATCATCAGGCAGCAGTCCATCCAGTCCGGCAGCACCTCCACCGCCATCAGCTAGCCAGGATAGGACGCAGTACGCGCCCGGCTCGCCGAAACCGCGCCGAGCTTTCTCATCCCGCTGCGCTCCGTCCACGCCGCGATCGCCTCCCTTCTCTTTCCCCCGTCCCCCTCCCGGAATTCGGCCCGTTCACACCGCCCCTCGCCACCAGTACAAAACACGGGCCAGCCTTCCTTGCACGCCTACTCCCCAGCTCTCCCCTGCTCTGCTCTTCCCCTGAGACGGACGGCACAGGCACCGCTCCTTCCCTGTCGTCCCGTGGCACGCCGGCGCCGGCGCGTGAACCGAGCCCCTCTCGTCCGCCACCGCGGCAGCTCACCGGAGAACGCGCCTGCCGGGCGGGACACGCGGAGGCGCCGAGAGATGAGCTGCCTGGGGTGGCTCAAGAAGAGGAAGGGGTCCGGGAGCGGGAGGCGGGGCTCCTCGGCCTCGGCCCCGGCCACCACGATGACGACCATGACCAACACCACGACCACGACGACCACCACCGGGTCGGCGGTGAGCACGAGCCGGTCGGACGACTCCGGGGCGGGGCGGCCCACCAGCAAGTCCACGGGCTCCGCCTCCTCGCAGCGGAGCATCTCCTCGCTCTACGAGGAGCGGGGCCACGGCCAGCTGCGGGCCTTCGAGTACGACGAGCTCCGGGCCGCCACCAACGACTTCGGCCGCGCGCAGAAGCTCGGCGAGGGCGGCTTCGGCGGCGTCTACAAGGGCTTCGTCCGCCCGCTCGACCCCCGGGCCGACCGCATCGCCGTCGCCGTCAAGCGCCTCAACACGCGCGGCCTCCAGGTACGCACGCACGTTCCCTCTACCATCCACCCATGCCGCCATGGCGCCATCTACGAGCGAATTGCGTAGTTTCCTATTCTGCTCTGCTCCCCGCGTGATTCAGCATCCAATTATTTACGCACACCCAGTTTCGTCAGAGTTTTGGGGGGATCAGAATGTGACTAAATAAATCTAAAGAAATTTGCTCCGGACAAAGAAGCATCCCACTTATTTTGAGAATTTGCTTCCGATCAAAATTAGTTTTTTGAGAATTTGCTCAAAAAATTTCATCTTGGCACCGCTCAATGGCCGATGTCCTATTGGGGACGACCAGAAAATGTAGGCAGAGAGCTTCCAGTGAACTCGGCCACTTTTTCAACCCAAAAATTTGTATTTATGTGCACGCGTAGTGTGTGCTCTTGCCAAATTTGACCAAGTGTTCCACCATGCGCACCGAGTCGCCGACTAGAAGTGCAAGGGATTATTAACAGATTCATGGAAAATCTGTTGAAGTGTGGTTGATCCATAGAAAGCAAAGGCACATTAGTCCTTTTTGAGCTGGCAGGGAAAGGAGGAGGCATTTCTGGGTTGCAAAGTCTTGAAATTGGTCTCTTTGACTACTATACTCGGAGGTTAGAGCTTATCTGCAATTTGTAGAAAGTTTGTTAGGAAAAGGCGAAAAAGGGAGGGGAAATGCAGGACTTTCAAGGATCAGATATTGACTATTATAGTCTAGGTTGATTTTGCAATTGGGGTGTAGCGGCCAGATTTACTAAATTTTATCAAAGAGTACTTCAATCATTTTGGAGCAGTTCAGCTCCTGGGGAACACATTGCTATGATTGAGTATATGATTAATGAGAACATACGCATGCTAGTATTTTATCCATCAAAAACCAAATGCTAACAAATGGTAGGATATAATATTTATCCTAACATTCTGGCATCTTGAACCCTGATATAATATTTTGTTTCAAATATATAGAAAAGTATACTACTAATGCTGAGTTGAATAAACATTACAAGTAAACGGTGCCCCACTTTGTGTGGCACGCAGGAGAAATATGGAGCCCGGAAAAGGATGTATACCAACCTTGCATGTACGTTCAGCATTGCGGTATCCAATTTGCCCAATCAAAGGAGACAAACGGCCATAATGAAGTGTTCTTGAGGGCAAACCATTACGCTAATGTTGCTGTTCTTAGTTGACTACTATTCACTTTGAGACCAAATCCTGGTTCATGTACCTAGAAAAGAAAGGTCAGCTAGAAACCTAGAGTTTTCAATTCTTCGTGCCTATTTATCCATTGCTTGCTTACGAATAATCTGCTAGCAGCATAAGACTTCGTCCGGCACCATATTCTTATGTTTGCGTATTCAAATTTGATATTCTTCTACTGACTGAGCTACTGCTTCTTCCTTGACCGGTTGAAAAAGGGAATTTTTGCAAGGCACAAATTCGAATTGCTTAGTTTTCGATGTTTACTTCGCGTTGTAAGACTAGACTACTATTTAATGTTAGCGCCATGACTTTTTCTTAATTGCTCGTCAAATGAGCAGTCAGTTTTCAATGTTTTTATATATCAATATTTGTCAGTTCCTAATAGTTTCTACATATTTTTTGTCCTGCCAGGGACATAAGCAGTGGTTGGCAGAAGTACAGTTCCTTGGAGTTCTTGAGCACCCAAATCTTGTAAAGCTTCTCGGGTATTGTGCCGTTGATGGTGAAAGGGGAGCCCAAAGATTGCTGGTCTATGAGTACATGCCCAACAAGAGCCTGGAAGATCACTTGTTCAGCCGAACCCACCCTGCTCTCTCGTGGAACAGAAGGCTTCAGATTATCTTGGGTGCCGCTGAAGGATTGGCTTACCTCCATGAAGGGCTGGAACTTCAGGTATACTTCAGACATCATTGTTCACAATTAAAAAAACACATCATTGTTCAGCTGTTTGATAGTTCCTTCCAAAATTTCATTTACCATCTTGCAAAGAAATCCCCTTGGTAATTTTTGTGAGTGTCGCAACCCAACCGCAAGGCTGCACCAGTGGTGCCAAACAAAATCAAGGCAGCATCATCTTCAGAATCTGCCGTTTTCTTAGTATTCAGCCTTCAGAAATGGGTTGCTGTGCTGTCTAGTGTTTGAGCCGTGCATCCATGTATGATCTATAGCAAGAGATGATGGTAGGGGGTCAACGACACGCACTAGAATTTGCACCACCACGGGGGTGTGAGATTCCTGAAGTTCAGTCAAGGACCACAAAATCCTGAAGTTGAATAGGCTAAGAAAGCATGCTAGGAGAAGTCATGTTCAGTACCCCACCACTACGTGCCTGTGAGATTCCAGGCAGCCAACTTTGTTGGAACTTTCTGAAAGCGCAGTTCAACATTCGTCGGTGCTTCGACACGCAGCCAACGTATCCGATTTCCACTTGGTTTCTCCTAGCGGGGCTGTTGCATCAAGCGTTGTGGGTCTACTGAAGCATAAAGTAGTTAGTCAAGACTTCATATGGTTGGTGAGTATTGAGACATATCAGCTGTCAAGGGAAGGCTAGTAGTGATCATGACTTCAATTTTCTCAGGCCCTTCGTTAGTGTTCTTCAAGGTTTGTTTGGAACATTAGAAAAAGGGAAATCGCGCATCCACGACGGTTTCTCTAGGCTTGTAGTAGTATGCAGTACAGAATTATGTTCTTATATAGTAGTATCAGTTCTTTTTCATATTTATTATCTAATCTGAACTCCTCTGTTTTGCTAGGTGATCTACCGGGACTTCAAAGCGTCGAACGTGCTGCTGGACAAGGACTTCCAAGCAAAGCTATCAGACTTCGGGCTCGCGAGGGAGGGGCCAACAGAAGGGAACACTCACGTCTCAACTGCGGTACGTCGCAATCCTTTTGACCCAGATAGTATGAGAAAATCTCAAGTTTTACACAACCACATTTTGCATCAACCATCTGGCATTTCACTAAGATTCAGCTGGTCCACGGCTGCCATTAAGTGTTGCTGACCCGTGGTGGCACTTGCTCCCACGCATGTTGTTTGTTTGATGTGTACCTGATGACAAGCTTGTGCTCCCTTTGTCAATGGCGCCTCCCTTTTCTTCTGCATTTGACTCTCAATTTCTGAAATGGTTGCATCAACATTGTGTCAGCATGACATAGAATAGAACACACGTATTATTACGTCAAGCTTACAACTGCCAGCTGATATATGGCATGATTTTTTTTCTCCCCTAAACATTTTCTTTCATGTGGTGTTCAGGCTGTGGGGACGCACGGGTACGCGGCGCCGGAATACATCGAGAAGGGGCACCTGACGGCGAAGAGCGACGTGTGGGGCTTCGGGGTGGTGCTGTACGAGCTCCTGACGGGGCGGCGGTCCCTGGACAGGAACCGGCCGCAGGGGGAGCAGAAGCTGATCGAGTGGGTGGTCCAGTTCCCGCCGGACAGCCGCAACTTCCGCATGATCATGGACCCCAAGCTCCGCGGCGAGTACTCCTCCAAGGCGGCCCGGGAGATCGCCAAGCTCGCCCAGAGCTGCCTCCTCAAGAACCCCAAGGAGCGGCCCGCCATGAGCGAGATCGTCGAGGTGCTCAGGCGAGCCGTGCAGACCGAGGTGGCCTCTGTGCCAGTGGACAAGGCACCCATCGCCGGCAACGGGAAGAGGGTCAACGTGGCGCCGCCGTCGAGGAGGTGACTGATGTGCTGTCAAGGAGAGTTCCTTGTCCCTCCTTTTAGGCGAGGTTTGCGTATGGTATAGCTATGCGAACATGAGTTTAGATGATATGGGTTGTTGGATTCTTGATAGTGTTTTCTTTTCCCCCTTCTTTGGAGGCTCATTTGAGTGAAGAATCAGTTACTGTGGAATGCAAATTAACCAGCCAATACTACTTGAGTGGGAGTGGCAACCGTTACCTGTTGCTGTTGGAGGACTCAATGCAGCTCATATACTGTACCTGGATATCCCACTCTGAAGGTATGGAAAACTCCAATGCGTCCGTCCTTCCCGCGTCCAAAGTGGCCACTTCTCGCAGCGTCTTCTTCCTCACGTCGATGGCGAGGATCCATGCTCTGCGGCTCTCGGCCATTCCGGTGCCGGCATTTTCTTCGTGAAATTTCAGGTCAGGGTTCCTTTCAGCCCTGACCATGATGTAAACGACATCTTCTTCGTGTAGGCTGATCGCGGGTTGGCTTCTTCCATTGAGCTTCCCCATGTCATGGAGATGAGAGGACAACTCCGGGTGGCTCATCCCCACCGGCACCTTGAAAATGTTGAGCCCGCAGTCCTTGCGCCATTGCTGACAGGGATCAGCCTTCTCCCATGCCGTGGATTTCCAACATTTGGTAACCAAGGCGGTGGTGCTGGTGAGGCCCTGGCCCTTTAACTTGAACCGCATCTCGAAGAACTTGATGCGGCCTTGCACGATGGCGACGTCCCACCCCCAGACGTCCTCTGACCTGCCCTTGCGCTCGGCTTGTGGCAGCGGGATGTGGCCAAGCACGGCGCCGTTGGCATCGTCCAGCCCGAGCAGGGCGCAGGTCAGGATGTCCTTGCGCAGGTCGGCCCAGGCCATGGAGCCGCGTTCGCCTCCGATCGCGAGCACCTTGCTCGGGCGGAAGTAACAGAACCTCTCTCGCTCGTCGACGTGCATCCACCTGCCAGTCCACGTCCAGGTCCTCGAGTCGAACAGCGAGAGGCAGTCACATGGAGCGCGGCGACGAGGAAGTCATCTCCGACGCGCCCGTCTTCGCGTAAGCGCAGGATACCGGCGGACTCGAGGGGACGGGGGTCGGGGAGCAGGCGGAGCGTCGATGTGGCGCCGGCGGCCTGGTAGACGAAGTACTCGAGGTGCTTGTCGCCGCGGACCTCGCGGGTGACGCTGAGGAGGACCGCCGGGAGGTACGCGTAGGCGGTGGTGGCGTTGGTGCGGGCGTCGACGTAGCCCCGGACGTCGAGGAGGATCGACTCGGGAGGCGTGTCCTGGCCGTCGTTCTCGAGGTGGATAGGCGGCCCGCCGTCCTCCTCCATAGTCCGTGGAGTTCTCGCACTCATCGTCGACGTCCTCAGTGAGTTCTCGAACTCCGTGGACGGTGAGCGAATAGATCAGCTACTAAGTAGACTGCCCATGCGTTGCCACGGGTCAAGAAACGGATTTGTAAGTAATGTTTATTTTTCTTGATAAAGGATGGATTTAATTAACTTAAAATGGAGCATCAAGAAGATACAAACATGATGAGCACACACCCGGCCTCTGCATAGCTAGGATGCACACAGCCAACACCAACGCACGCACACAAAAACATGCCTGCAAATAGCAAAGTCATATAAGACCAAAGCTATGCATGTAGGCAAGGAAAAAAAACTCCAAAGCGATCAGATCCTGAATCGACAAACTATAACAATAACCATATTTGCACCGACCATGTCATGACATCACTTGGACGACGAGGTTCTTCAACAGCAACGCCTTCAAGAAAGAAGCGACACTCAAGTGCCACCGTCACCGGATCCAGCCACCCAAGGCTACAATCTAGGTTTTCACCCTGAAGAATCAGTCCGAGCATTCTGAACAATGCCTTCAAGGTAACGACGTAAAAGTATCGCCATTGCCAGGTATACCCAACTCGGGTCAGATCTAGGCTTTCACCCCAGAGCTCAAGACCGGGTGCTCAAGTAGCACCACCATCAAAGTCATTCATGTGTTATCGTCACCACTTTTCCACAATCCCAGCAGCTACATGTGATGTGACCACCGCCACCGCACAACCATCCCTTTGTATCAAAACTTCGTTCATAGTTTGCATCTCGCCGTCAACCACCAGATCTACGGAGACGAAACTCTCAGAAAATCTTTTGATGGTGACCGCAATCCGCAGCGAGGCCGCCGCCATACACTGCAACAATTAGCCGCCGGCGCACTCAACCAGGAACTCCGCCTAGCAGTGAAGACCCGACCATGCCACTGCACAGCAAGACTCCAGGCAGCCATGACCATGTGTAACCGGCCACCTGGACGGCCGCCGAGCATCTGCATGCACGTGCACATCTTAAGCAGCCGTGTGGATGCATCCACGCACCAGCCCCGTACTCCAGGCCATGGACTTCATTTAGATCGGAAGGCCAGAATCACAAGGTAGCCGCCAGATCGGGAGGCAAGCCATGGACAGATCATAAAGCCAGCAGCCAGATCGGAAGTTGACCGCCAAGGGGGAGAACAGAAGGAACAGAAGAGGCCGGAGATGCCCCGCCGTCGCCGTCCGCCGGGCGGCTGGCCTCCTCCGGCGGCGGCGTGGTGAACGGCGCTGCGTGGGAGGGCTTCCGAGGTGGCCGCGACGGCGCCTCCGGAGTTGCCTGAAGCGACCTGGGAGGCTAGGGAAGTTAGGTATGTTTATTTTACTTCCCACAAATGAGGACATTGTACGCAATGTTCAAATAAAACACAAACATAAGTACCTTCTTCTCTCTTCCAACAAACACCAGGCTCCCCTCTAGCCTTTCTTCTACATCGAACTTGTCTCCTGTCGTGTCTTATTTCTCCATACATCAGTCATCCTCTCAATACAAAAGATAATTTGAATAGATAGAATGACATCCATCTAAAGAATGCAATCGGTAAAACAATAAGACCAACTGAAGAATGATATAGTTTCATCTGGAAAAATGTCGTGTTGCCCTTCAAATATATTTTTCTCGAATACGCATAGCATGCGTATCTTGCATTAAAGAGAGAGAACAGGGGTACAAGAGCCCTCCGCCGAGGGTGTTACAACACACCCACTCCACCGTATCAAGGGTACACACTAATCTCACCTCCGACCCACCTATGTATCCACCTAAAGAAGGGTTCCAAGTCCGACCGTATGAGGCCGGCCGTCTTCCAAGCCCTACCCTCTGAAAGGATCCTACCAAAGAGTCTATTAAGCGACGGGGAGTCGCCGTCAAACACGATCCCATTCCGATGTTTCCAGAGCTCCCAAAGGGAAAGGATGATGATGGTCTGCGAGTCCCTTGCCGGCATGCCGTCCCCTCCTATGTTTACCAGCCATGATGGTAGCATGCCGTCCTGCGTTGGCGTCCACTCCGGCTTGCCTAGTGCCGTGCAAATCTGCAGCCAAAAGGACCGGGAGAAGGCGCACTGAAGCATGATATGGTTCATCGTTTCATCCTCCTGGTCGCAAAGCGGGCAAACCTCCTGATGCGGCAGCCCCCTCCTGGCCAAATGATCCCAGGTCCAACAGCGGTTCCGCACCGCGAGCCAAGTGAAAAAACGACACTGAAGGGGGGCCCGATTTTCCCATGTTGTTGCCGTTGTCGGGACCACCTCCCTGCCTGAGAACTTCGCCGCGTAAGCCGAGCTAGCAGAGTAGACCCCGCTCCTCTCCCATGCCCACACGATCCGGTCGTGCACTCCCTCCTGGAGTTGATATCCTTGGACCTGCTCTCACAGCGCCATAAACTGGAGGAGCGCCGGCCCCTCCAAATTCAGACCCACGTACCGCGCCCACGCGCCATTAGCTAATGCCTCGTTGACGTGGAGTTGCCGGCGAACGCGTTTGGGAATCCTGGAGTAGATGGCCGACGCAACTTCCCCGATCCTGAATCCTTCCAGCCACCTGTCCTCCCAGAACAAAGCCTGTCTACCATCTCTGACCGTCGTGTGCATCGCCGCGTTGCGTAGCTGCGTAGCTGCTTTTGGCAACGATATGGTGAACTCACTCCATGGTCTCGAGTTATCTGTCTGGGCGAGCCACTGCCATCTGGCTTGCATGGCGATGTTCATCCACTTAAGGTCCGGAATCCCAAGGCCACCTGCCCACTTGGGGGCACAAATAGCCGGCCATGCAACGGAATAGTTTCCTCCGTTCGCCTCCGCTTTTCCACACCATAAAAAGCCTCACAGAATTTTGTTTATGGCCTTTATTATCTTAGCTGGGAGCTCCATTGCTAGCATCACATGTATTGGCATTGATGATAGCACCGACTTGACAAGGAGTAGCCTTCCACTCTTCAGAAGTGATGAAACTCTCCAAGTGGGTAGGCATGTCGCAATGTGTTCCACCAGCCCCTGAAGCTGGGCTGCTGATTGCTGACGTATGGTATATGGGAGCCCAAGATATCTTATCGGGAATCTCCCAAGTGAGCAGCCAAGGGTATCAACCACCACCTCCATTTGGTCCTGCGTGCACCTGATCGGTAGCGCAGCACTCTTGCGCAAGTTGGCCTTGAGGCCCGAGGCAGCAGCGAAAATCTCCAGAATGAGTGAGCACGCCCGCAAGTCCATCATGTGTGGTTTAAGAAATACCATGACATCTTCCGCAAAGATTGACATCATGTGCCGTAGTCCGGATGGTGCAAGGGGGGCAAGGAGGCCAAGCTCAGCCGCCCGGTGGAAGAGCCGCTGAAGTGGCTCCATGACAAGAAGAAAGAGCATTGGCGACATTGGGTTCCCCTGTCTTAGTCCACAATTGTTGTATATTGGCTTCCCTGGGACTCCATTGACCATAACTCTCGTGGAGGATGTGGCAAGGAGCCCACAGATACACCCAATCCACCGTTGTCCAAAACCCATAGCATGCAAAACCTCCAATAAGAATGGCCACTGGACGTAATCAAAAGCTTTCGATATGTCGAGCTTTAAGAGCACGATGGGATCCCTCAAGACATGAAGCCGCCTATCTGTTCCTTGCACGAGCATG